AATGCACTCCTTGCAACTTTGCCAACTTGAGATCACTGCAAATTTGAGTGGATTTCCACCGAGACAACAGAAGGCGCATCCCTTAGGCCAGCTTTTGCTCCTGCCAAATTTCAGTCACACAGCTTCTCAATGAGATGGCTGCATTTAAAATTATTTTTATATATATGTATCTACAGAGAGAGAGAGAGATAGATAGAAAATAATCCTTTTCTATCATTTGCAGAGCCAGTTGGATTTTACCGGGAAAAGTGTGGGGGGGGGGTGGGTGGAAGGTTGTTTTGCTTTGCTTTATTTATCTATCTATCTACATTGAGCAAACTGAAGCAAAGGGGGAGGTCAGCCTAGACGATGGGGGGAGAAATGGTAATGGTTTGACAACAAAACACCCAGTGTATCTATTTTTGCATTTATACCACATGAACAGATTTGGGGGGAATCATAGGCGTAAGCCCAGGGGTGTCCATGGGGAGAAGGAAAAATGCCAAGACCCAACCGTGCGACCAAAGCACCATTTCTTTTTTAATGTGAACCGTAACACATGGTAACAAGGGGTAAAGCTTTGATCACATGGTTGTGTGGCTGCCATTTGGCTTTTTTCTGGGCCCCTTTCCTGCGACACCCCTGGACAAGGTCTTTTACAAGGCTTCTTTGCTCAGTGGGGAATTGAGAAGAGCTTGAAGACATTGGGTGGGGTGGGGCGGGGTGGGGTGGGGGTATGGATATAGGGAAAATAAAACAGAACAGGGGATATAAAATAAAAATAAAACAGGCACCCACGTGCCTTATTCTAGGTTACCAAAAGAGTAGGGCGTGAAATAAAAGCTTTGCGTTCCATGCTGCAGATTTCACTCGGTCAGGTGAAGATCTAGCAGATGCAATTATACAACAGGCAAAGCTTGATTAGGGTTTATCTTGATCCGTTGGGAGGTGGTGGCGGCGGCTTGTGTACTGTGGAAGCCCAAACCCACTAATTTCTTCAGCATTTTACTTTATTGTGGGTAAATCCAAATAATCAACTTGTGTACCAGAGCAGCCACTAGCGTTTTCAGAACATCTTGCAAGAAACTCCACAGCTGCATAACAGTGGATGGGTGAGTTTTGCTCCACTCAAAGGAAATGTATTATAGGCCTCCCTTGAAAAGCATGCAGATGTCCTACGACGTCATTATTCTCTATCTTGGCACTGTGAGAGATGATACTTCAATTCTGACCAACTCCATTTCAATGGCCAAATCAACCCTAAGCCTGCAGTTCTGCAGATTGACCTTCCCTGACCTGATTTCTCCAATCCCTGATATGCCAAGACTAGAATCGTGAGAATTCCCAAGTTTTGGAATTGCAATCCCAGCATTTCTGGAGGGCAGCAGGGAAATTGCTGGGACACGCCCTACCACCTTATTGAAACCTATTCAAACTTCTGAGCAAACAAGCATAAAGAACATTGGGATGCGATAGGGGAAATATAGCTTATCATATGGCTAAATTAAAACCATTACACTAAATTACAGATCATTTTAATTAAGGCTTTTTTCAGACAAAACTGGCTGAGTCTACTTATAATGCATTAAGTCATGAACTGTGGTTTGGTTCACACCACATGCAAAGGCAAGACCAAGCAAATGGTTTAATTACTAATTGTTGAGGCAGATCCTTCTATATATGTGGAGCTAAGAATATCACTGTAGATCCACCAAGAATAACCTACTAGATCATAGGCTTCCTTTGACCAATCCCTGCTTTAGAATATTTTCAGAATCTTTGCCAAACAGGAAAATTCAGAGAACCAAGTACTGTACACCAGTACCATGTTCACACCATAGGATAACCCAGATAAATGAAAAACTGGGGTGCTGTATTTGCACAATGCCCCAAACTTAGGTTTGTTTGCTTGTTGGTGTTGATTAGTGTGATATACGAATGCAGCCTGTTTAGAGTGATGAAGATCGTTCAACGTATTGTGCAAATTCAGAAAACGGATTAATCCAGTAATTAGATTTAATGTGTTATGTGAACACAGTGCGTTCCTTAGGGAACTAGCTGCTGTGTGTCATGCTTGCAAGAAGTCTGAAGAACATCACTAGAGAAGACACAACAGTAATAAAGTAGATCTTACAGCACAGATCCAATTGGCAGGTGATCCCAGCTACCAAAGTAGTAGACCACTTCCTTCATTAGTGGCCTTTTCAGTCTCCTGCCAAACCTGAAATTAATTCTGGAAAATGCGTAAGGGAAACACATAACAGCAAGTGTTTAACAATCAAATGAGGTGCCGTAATTATGCAAGCTTTTGGATGACACAGAGGTCTTCAGGGGTCCAAAAAGCACACATCTAACTGTGTAATAATTCACTTTGTAATTGCAGCTCAGAGCAAAATCAGAAGAGGTGAAATCCTTTGGAAATTAACCTCCCCCCCATCTTGTTCCCCCCTCCCCACCGGTGCCTTGATAGGCTCCCATGCTCTGGATGCTGCCTCTAGCTGCTGCTCAAGAGATATTATCATTAAAGAATCAGTCCCCTTTGCTGCTTCTCCTCCTCCCCCCTCCCCTCGTTCCAGCAGGCACAGGCACCCCAGGATAAGAGCACCACGGCCACTCAGCAACCATTAGTGTTACTGCAAAGGAACTTGTAGCCATAGGGCACCCGAAGCAAGCCAGGCATATAAGTGTGAACTCTGTCCTCCTCTCCCCACACATCCTGACCCCCTTAACTCTTCCCAGGGGCCATCTTTCTACACTCCCATCTCTGTCACTAAGGCATCTGACAGCAGAGTTACAGGGACACCCAGCCTAGGGAACAGGAAAACAGGGATCAGCTTTTTTTTTTCTTTTTTGCTGCTGCTGCTGCTTTCTCTGTCCCGCTTAAAAGGGCTGCTGTACCTTTAAGAGTTGCAGTCCGCATGACAGGGATAAGTTTAGCAGGTGCACCTTTGGTGGTGGCTGCACTGCGACTGGACAAACCCCTTTTGGAGCTCTTTCTTAGAGGAGGCATCTCTCCCCACCCACCGGCTCCTCCCTGTGTTCCTCTGCCAGGCTGACCCTGCCCAGGGGCAGCCTTGGCACGCTGCGGACAATGGGAGAAGGCAGCGTTGTCTGCATAGGAGTAAGAAGGCAGCTCTCTGACCTCCCTCCCACCCACCCACCCACCCACCCACCAGGCCCCTCGGCTGCAGTTCAGAGTCACTATTGTTCTCTCTAACCCAGTTGCAATTCTTCCCATCAAGGGGAGAGGCAGAGGTTTGCAACAGAGCTTCCCAAAATGAGCACATTGTGGGTCAGTAGCCAAAAAGGGCCGAACCTATTTGCATTCTCCTCTACAGCCAGGACAGCAACTCAGGCAGGATGCGCTCTTACAGTTGCACAGGGATCCAGCCCATCTGTGGGAATCATCCCAAGTCAAGGCAGACAAATTATACTGGAATTGGCAAACTGAGGGAGGCCAGCTGCCCCCTTCCCCCATGGCTCTGTTTTGGATCAGCTGAAGAATATAAAAAGTATGGCATCTGGACATGTGCAGAGTGCATTTCAGCCAGGGATGGTGCAATGGCAAACAAAGGGCTAATTTTTCAAAGGGTCGACGAAAGGGGAGGCTGACAGAATTGCTAAGAACATTGGCCCCCTACTGACCCGCAGGGATTCCCAGCCTGAAGGCAACAGTGAGTGGAGAGGGAGGTTGGGGGTCTGTATCCCAACACATCTGGAGGGCACTAGGTTGGAGAAGGCTCCTCTACACCTTTATGCCCTGGATAATATGAAAGGGGGGAGGAAAGGCCTTTCAAGTGCTGGGGGGGGGAAGAGAAAGAGTTATGGGACACGTACCCCAATGTCAAAAATCTTCCCTCAAAAGAAAGGGGGAAGATTTCACCGGCTCTCTCAGCGGCGCCCCCCCTCCCCGCCCCATCTCCAGATTTCTAAGGGAAAGCCAGTGGCAAACGATTAAAACGGCCCTCTGAATGACAACGCGGTGGGAAACCACAGATGGGGTGGGGGCTGGCAGAGGCGGCTGGAGAAGGGCGCGCCGGAGCTGCCACTGCCTCCGAGGTAGCGTCTCAAGGTTAACCGCGAGGGGGAGTCCGTCCGAGGAAGGCCACGAAATCAACCCCGACCCACGCACGCCCCCACCCCCACACTTTTTACGGCGACCTGAGTGGGACCCCCGCCTCTCCTCTCCTCTCACCTGCAGATCTTGCAGAAGGCTAATTCTGCCCCCCCCCATCCCAAGGCCCTCTTCTGCAGAGATGAAACTCAACCTATGGAATGGGGAGTGGTGGGGGAGGAGAAGAAGGGAGAAGCCCCCCCCTTCCTCTCCGGGGCACGGGAGAAAAGCTCCTCTCTTGCGGTGGTTTGCGCCGAAGCCCATTTGCCCACCGCGTTCCCTCTCTCCCTCCTTCCACGCTCGCGAGGGAGGGACGCCGTACCTCGAGCGAGTTTTCCTCAAGGTCATACGTACAGTACATGCATGCTCAAGGCTCGCAGGCGTAATTTGGATGAAACCTCCCCCCCCATCACCCTTCTACCCAATCCCCACCCCTCAATCGGTCCAGCCCTCCCTCCAGCCTCACACGAAGGATGACAGGAGCTCCTGCCTCCCCGCTGCCTCCTTTGCTCTAACCACTGAACCGCACGTTCTCCACCAGTCTTAGACAGCATTTTCCTTCAAGGAAGCTCTCGCGCCCCCTCCCTTGCGGCGGACCCTCCCCTATGAACCTCCCTCCCTCCCTCCCACCCCCCTTTAAAGTCCTTGCAACCTATCCGATAAAACACAAAAAACAATTCCTTTCCTAGAAGAACTTGCACTGGGCTAGGCAGGTACTTGCAGGTAATCAGCCGGAGCCAGGGGACGAGTTGCCGCGGAAGGATGGGAGGGGAGGGGAGGGGAGGGAAGGGGGGGTTCTCTGCCATCGCTGCCAACCCACTGAAGGGGGTCCCCACCCACTCTTCCCGCCTGCCTCCCCATCAAGGGGAACTTCGCCGAAAGCAACAAGAATCCAGCAACAAAGTACCTGTGTGCGCGCAGCAGCTCAGGGCAACGGTCCAAGACAGCCAAACCGCCGGCTTCATGATGGGAAGGAAGATCGGGAGGCAGGAAGGCAGGGCGCCGGTCGGAGAGGGCGTGCAGCTCGGGCTGGGACGGGGCTCGCTGCGGGAGCCTGCGTTTCCCCGGCCGCCTCGCCCTTCTCCTCCTGGCTTGGCCTCGAATTCTTCTGCCCGGCGGGGAGACGGGAGGGGGGATTCCAGCACTCTTTTATCCCCTTCTTCTCTTGACCTTGATTCCTGTCACGGGCTGGTGGGAAGCAAAAGTGAAGTGCAGCTACGGAGACAGCCGAAGACCACCCCGGCGGGGGGGGGGCTCGCAAGTGGCCCACTTCGATGCTCGGGACCCTCCAAGTCGCTCCCCAGCTACTTGGCACTGTCGCCGTCCACCTCCAGGGAGCTCGTGCTCATTCAGCAGGGCAGAGGCTGACCACGCCCATCCCGGCTCCGGATTGGCTGCTTGGGAGGCTGCACTCATTGCGGGGGGAGGGAGGGGGGCCGGCGCGGAATCGCACGCTCGCCCTGAAAGCCGCTGGCGAGCAGGGCGACCCGCGCCCCCCTGCCCTCCCCTCTCCCCGGCTTCGCTGAGGCTCGAAAGCGCGATCCGCGGGAGTCCTTTCCGGGGAGGGGCGGAGAAAGAAGCACCCGTTGCTTGCCGAAGAAGAGCCTGCGTGGCCTGGGTATGCTCTGGCAAGGCGATGGGGGGGGCGGGGGCAGGCGATGGGGGGGCAAACCACCTGCAGAAGGGGTGGGGTGGGGTGGGGTGGTCGTCGTATCCCCTCGCCCTGCCCAATTCGCTTCCTAACGGTCCGATTTGCCAAACATCAAACTTATGTCTAATGTGAGGGTGTGGGTGTGGGTGTATTGCTGCTTGCCCTCAGCCTGTTGGATCTCTCGGGGTGGGCCAACTCCTAATGCCCCGTTTTGACCGGAGGATCCGCCTTTCCACCTCGCTACCTTTCGACTTGCTTCTGCCTCAGTGGCTCTTTTGTTGAAACCTGCTGTGTGTGTGTGTGTGTGTCTCCTCCCCCCTCCAAGGCTTCCGCTCCTACAGTAGTTCTAGCGCCGGACTCTGCGCTGCAAAATGTGGAAGTTGCATTATTTATTTGGGGCACTGGGAGCTGGGAGACTCTTCTGACCCTCTTCGCAGGGAAAGAAGAGCAAGAAATGAATATATTCAGTAAGCTGGGGGGTGGGGTGGGGAGAATCAGGCTACACAACAACCTGATGCAACAACCCCACTCAGCAAGGCGCTTTCCTGACCATGGGATGGGCTGCTTTCCCCATTTGCATGCATCTGATTTCACCCCTCCTTTACTTAAGATGGCCTGTAAAAAAAGCCCAGGCTAAATTACCTGCAGAGCCAGTTCACATTGCTACCTTGATTGCTAATTAATACAAATATGCACATCTCCTCTTTGAATCGCCTAAGGATGGAGAAGTCTATGCCAAGAAGGAGGTGTTGCCTTCTGATGGAATGTTTTTTGAACTCTTCTGTCTAATGGACAGCTGTTGGATCTCCTGGTGGCCCCCCTTTGAAGTATTAGATTTGATTTTTCCTTGACTTTTCAAGATCAGTCAAGGTCAGGGCTGAGATTTAACTCAAGGCTGCTTTCCCACCTGTGGTTTTATTTATCAAGTGAATTTATCCAGTAACTGCAATCTATTCCTGATCTCTGGGGATTTGAGAAAGGAGCATTCTGGGAGGAGAGATGTGATATCTAAGCCAGATATATTTAGGGCTTACCTAGGGCTTTAAAGTGTTCAGAGCAGTTAATACATCTTATTCTAATCATCCTTGGGGATACTACAAGTTTAGACCCATATTATAGGCAAGGATGAGGAAAAATTGAGGCCGGGAACTCCATTCATATGTGGAACTACAGATGTGCTCTGGCGATGAAAGGATTCTATTATTATTCCTGGACTTGATCTGAGGTTGGACATTGGGACTTGACTGCTCATTCCTGGTAAGCTGTATGAAATATTTTCTATAATGAAAATGCAGTGAAGCGAACAGTGGCTAGGAAAGAGTAGAAAGTCATACTTTCTTTTTTAAAATGACAGTTACTCTTTTTTTGGCATTTCCTGTGCCTGGAATTTGAACAGAAAGCCTATCTAATGATCATATTTCTTCATTCTTAAAATAGCATTCTTCTGCTTTTTGCCTGCGCTAGAAGCATTCACACATGCACGGATGCAAACCACGTGGGACATTTTTCAGACCTTGCTTCGGTTGCAGCCTGAGAATGAATGGACCTACATCTGTTGAGGGTTTGCCCTGATTTGTGGGAGCCTTTGCTTGGACAGGGGTCCTGTGTACACAAAAGGGAGCAGGTAGTTCAATTCATTTGAGCCCCAGGGAGATGCTTTGCAAGGCCAGTCCTATTGCCTTGGTCCAAATTGACAACTTCTTTCAACAATTCCCTTCTTTGGGAAGGAAGGTTATTCCTTGCTATCTGCTCCCTGATCCTATTTCTTTATTCCCTCAGTTGCTTTCCTGGTTAGGCACAGCTTAGTGTTTGGCATGCAAGAATGTGGAAAGTACAATTTGCATCCTGCATATATCTCTGATTCCAAATTAGGTTCACATTGTGTCTGGGATTGGATCTACCAGATTCCCCCAATTGATTACTTGCATTCCAGGAAAGATAAAAGTGGCAGTTTTAATGGCTAGGAAAATGGCAGAGTGTGCCAGCTAGGCTGTTGAGTGAATTTTCTTTTTCTTATCAGAAAACCTTAAAGGATGTAGATAAACAGCAGAAAGTGGTCTGGGGATTCGCTGGAGTGTTTTAGGCCCGGGCTGCCCCCACTTGTCCTCCCCTTTCTGTTTTCAATACTTTTCTGTTTTAACAGGACCAAATTGAGGCTGTCCCTCAGCTGACCTCCTTCCTGGTTCCCGGGTGACAGAGCCTTCTGAAACACTGAGCTGAAATGCCTCTGGGCTCCAGAGCTGCCCCCCTCACCTTTTCTTACCATACGCCTTTCCCACTAGCATCTGTTCCCAATTATCTCTTGGAAGTGTGTGTAATAAGCAACTGGGGGGGGGGGGAGAGTCTGAGGCTGGTGTAGGAAGACTCTCCCCCTCCAGCTTGTTAAAATAATTGCATTAAGTCCTGTGCACCTCAACTTTTTTGGGTCTCTTCAGGCTGACCCAGCAGACTTCCATAGACTTCCAGATCCAGAGATGTCACTGTCTTAACAGCTTGCATAAATGGGACCCAGCTCTTTTATCTCTAGTCCATAATCAAAATGATTGAGTCTTTAGTCCTCTGTTTCTCAACCTTGGCTACTTGAAGGTGTGTGATCTTCAACTCCCAGAATTCCCCAGCCAGCATGGCCTTCCAAGTCCACATGTCTTCAAATGGCCAAACCAGAATGCAGAAGAGTTTTTATGTCCTCTTTGTTGGCAAATGCAGATGTGCTAGAAAGAGCCAGTTTGGTATAAAGGTTAATGTGCTGGTCTAAAAACCAAGTGACTGAGTTCTAATCTGTGAGTTCTAAGTTCCTTAGATATGAAAGCCAGTTGGGTGACTGAGTTAATCACCACGAAATTGTGAGTTCTACTTGCAGTTTAGGAATGAAAGCTGGCCAAGTGACTTTGGGTCAGTCGCTCTTTTGTCAGCTCAACCCACTTCTCAAAGTTGTTGTGGGGAAAAAGAGGAGGATGAAGGAGTACTTCGTATGTTCACCACTTTGAGTTTCAATCAATCAAAAGAGACTTGGAAGGGACCTTGAGGTCTTCTAGTCCAACCAACTGCTCAAGCCAGAGACCCTATACCACTCCGGACAAGTGGCTGTCCAGTCTCTTCTTAAAAACCTCCAGTGATGGAGCACCCACAACTTCTGAAGAAAAGTCATTCCACGGGTTAATTGTTCTAACTGTGAGGAAGTTTCTCCTTAATTCCAGGTTTCTTCTCTCCTTGATTAGTTTCCATCCATTACTTCTTTTCCTGCCTTCAGCTGCTTTGGAGGATAGATCAACCCCCTCCTCTTTGTGGCAGCCCATCAGATACTGAAAGACTGCTATCATGTCTCCCCTAATCCTTCTTTTCTCTGGACTAGCCAAACGCAATTCCTGCAACGGTTCTTCACTCAGTCTCCAGGATTTTAATCCCCTTAGTTGCTCTTCTCTGCACTTTACCCCCACCCCAAAGTCTCAACATCTTTTCTACAATGTGGTGACTAAAACTGGACGCAGGTATTCCAGGGATGGCCTTACTAAGGTTTTATAAAGCAGTACTAATACTTCATGTGATTTTGATTCTTACAAAGTAATAAAGACACAATAAAAAATAAATAAAATTTCTTCTTGCCAAGGGCCACTGGGAACCTGATGCTGTGGAAATCAGTCCATGCCACAAGTCCTCTAGATTGTAGATTGCTGATGGGAGGAAGAAATTTAAAGAGATTGCTGCCACTTTGTTTTCCTTCTGTGCAGTGGAGATTAAACTGACTGGGAATATTGGCTGAAAGCTTCAGCATCTTTACCTCTTAAATCACCCACATGTGTTGGTAAGCCTGTCTCTGACTGAGCAGTATTTACATACAAGCCATTGGCAGATGGCAGGTAAAGAAGACCACACGCCCTGCAGGTCCTATGTTTATAAATGTGTGTGTTTGTAAATGCAGGATTTTTTTTGTTACGTATGTAAGTAAAGAATTCAAAGTGAGCATTGCAGCTGGCTGGGGAGTGGCAGTAGTGAGGAAGCTTTAAGACATGAAACAAAACAGACACTAGATTGCAGGGGTTCTCAACCTTGGCAACTTTAAGACTTGTGGACTTCAACTCCCAGAATTCCTCAGCCAGCTTCAATTCTGGGAGTTGAAGTCCACAAGTCTTAAAGTTGCCAAGGTTGAGAACCCCTGCCTAGAGATCCAGCCCAAGAGGATTTGAAAAGAATATTCTGAAGATTTAGAGATTACAGTGTGTGTGCAGGAGGGGACTGGCCTGTGTATTGAGCAGGCAGGGTTATACTCTGTCAGACCTAGCGGATAAATGACAGGCAAGGAATGAAATCCTGAATTCAAGCCTTTATTGAAGATGCTACCGTATTTCTCATCTGGCAACTTCCAGATATGAAGACTTCAATTCCCAGAATTCTTAGCAACAGCCAGGCTGGTTGGTAAATTCTTTGAGTTTACAAATGCATCTGGAAATTATCAAGGTTGGGAAACATAGGCTTATAGTTTATATAAGTCGTTCTTGATTTACAACGGTTTATCAACTATTGGAAAGTACAATGGCTCTGAAAGTTCTGAAGCAGTGCTAGTAACATGTTGAGCCATATGCAGGTATACCAGCAACATGGTTTTTCTAGTTTCTAATATTGCTCCAACAGACAAGTGAAAATAAATGTGGTATATGAAAAT